TATAGAACCTGGAAATTATGGTATTATATACAGCCAGATATCACATGAATGTGAACAGTGGTCTCTGAACCAATGAAGTAATTGTTTCCTCTATCAAACATTTTTACCTACCAAAAAAATCTGAGTACATATTGAGTGTTGTTTAAGAAACTACATCTTATATTTTACATTTTTTTTTAATTTTTTTTATTTATTTCTAGGAGAGAGAGAGAGAGATAGTGTGAGCAGGGGAGGGTCAGAGAGAGAGGGAGTCACAGACTGAAACAGGCTCCAGGCTCTGAGCTGGCAGTCAGCACAGAGCCCGACACGGGGCTCGAACCCACGAACCGCGAGATCATGACCTAAGCGAAAGTCGGACGCTTAATCGACAAAGCCACCCAGGCGCCCCTACATTTTATAGATAGAAGCAGAAATAAATGAATTTAAGAAACCATTAATATTCTTTTGAAAGACATAAAGTTATATTTTAATCAAGTATTAACAAAAAGAATCAGAAAGTCTTTCCACAAGTACGGTCCACACCACAATGGCACATCTAATTAAAAGCTTTCAGTATATAAATTACTACATTTCCAAAAATGCAGATACTTTACATGGAGACAGCATCAACTTTGGAACTACTTTCAGGGCACCCAGATGACTCAGTTGGTTAAGTGTCCAACTTCAGCTCAGGTAATGATTTCACGGTTTGTGGGTTTGGGCCCCGCATCTGATTCTGTGCTGGCAGCTCAGAGCCTGGAACCTGCTTTGATTCTGTGTCTCCCTCTCTCTCTGCCCCTCCCCTGCTTGTGCTCGGTCTCTCTCAAAAATAAACATTAAACAATTAAAAAAAAAAAAAGAAAATACTTTCAAAACATCTCTAACTTTCAAGTCGCTGAAAAAGAAGAATTGAAAGAGAGCTACACAATATAAATTTGCAAATATCTGAGGTGATAAAATGATCAATAATAAATTATTTTAAAATTTACTTTAATGACTCCATTTCCAAAATATGTGAATTCTAAATGTATCTATTATATGTAATAGAAGTATATTCTAACATAGCCATACATTTTTTTCTCCCCTCCTCATTCTTAGCATTCTAGTACACGATGCATTTTCTTGACTACAAATGTTTTACCACTTTAAAATAATCTCAAGTTATTGGTTTACTTTCTAAGTTACCATGTGCATATTCACTTGAAAGCTATTATATATCTACTTCTACGAATATAAGTCAGTGCAAGGTGGTACATTACTATATCTTGAGATTAAGATTCCTTTTCTGAGAAAATTTCACAAACCATCAGTTACATTTTTGTTACCAACTACCAGCATTTAAAAAAATTATTCTTATTCTTTGAAAGAAAGATTATTCATTTATGTAAATTGTTTTCTCTTTGTTTATGCATATTGATGATCTCAAACTGGGTCTAAAGAGATGGATTTCTTGGAAACCTAGACTTTTGGAACTGGAAAGGACATGAGAGATCATCCACTCCAAGCCCTTCGTTTTATGGTTGAGGACACTGAGCCCAGAAAAGATAGCTGAGTGACTTTGGGCAAATTTCCTGCCGAGTGGCAGAGCCACAATCAGAAGCCAGGTCTCCTGACACCCAGTTAGGAGCCAGGTCTCCTGACTTTTAATCCAAGGATCTTTCCATTACACACACAGTGAGTCTCTATTCTTTGAGGATGTCTTGGGCTGCTCACCCTGATCAAACTACTTTGTAAATGATCACATTCACCAAATAGAATGCGTTTGATGACAAGTCACGGGACCTTGAAACATGCTTATACAGACACGCTATACTTTAATCATTATCTTGCCCTGACTTTTCCTTGATCATACAAAAATTATAAAGCCCCTTAACACAGTCTTCAGAGCAGTATGCGATCTGGCCCCCACAAGTCACATGAAGCTCTCTCCTTCTTGGTCTGCTCCATTGATGCCGGCCTTCACTGAGTTCTTCAAAGGCACCAAACTCCTTCCTGTCTCAGCCTATGCCATTCCCTCCACTCAGGCTCTTTTCTCATGCTTTCTCTGGCCAGCTGTTAATTGCTGTTTAGTTCTCAGTTTAAATAGAAGAACTTTTTTAAGTTTGTTTCATGTTTACTTATTTTAGAGAGACAGAGACAGAGCACAAGCTGGGGAGGGGCAAAGGGAGAGGGAGACTCAGAGTCTGAAACAGGCTCCAGGCTCTGAGCTGTCAGCACAGAGCCCGACGTGGGGCCCAAACTCACAAACTGTGAGATCGTGATCTGAACTGAAGTCGGACGCTTAACCAACTGAGCCACCCAGGCGCTCCAAATATAAGACCTTTTAAAGAGGATCCCCCCTCCAAGCCCTCTGAGTTTTGCCCCATTCACACTTCCTTCTTTTTACATTCTTATTGCAACCTATATCTTTTAGTGTTTACAACAAGCCCAATTAATGAATTATTTATTCACTTACTTATTCAAATGTTTCTTTTTCAATTTACTCCAAGCTCCATAAGAGCCAGTACTCTATTCCTAGTCATTATACTATCCTCCAGTACTTAGCAGACTGTGTCTGAAACACAGTTAACCACAAGAGTCAGTATTTCCTAGCTAGTTGATTACTATGTGCCAGATCTTCTTCTAAAGCTGGTGATGTCATTCGAGTTTCCAACAGTCCTATGAGGTCGGTACTAATATTATGCTTATTTTACAGATGACAAAACTGAGGCACATCGCATTAAGACACTTGCCTAGTATTACAGGGCTGGTAACTCATGGAATTGAGATTTGAATTCAAGCATTCTGATTCTAGAGTTCATTTTTTAAACTAACATATATAGTATATAGTTTTTTAATTTATTTCTTGATTTTGAGAGACATGGAGATGGTGCAAGTGGGAGAAGGGCAGAGAGAGAGAGAGAAAGAGACCGAGAATCCCAAGCAGGCTCTGCACTACCAATGTGGAGCCAGATGTGGGGCTCACACTCACAAAACCATGAGGTCATCACTTGAGCCGAAATCAAGAGTCTGATGCTTAACCAACAGAGCCACCCAGGCACCCCTAGCTAATATATTATGCTGTAGCACATCAAATATTTGTTGACTATATTAACTTACCCACAAAATCATATTAACAGTATCACTGAACTATATAAATGGAATAACAACGACAAACCATAGAGTATTTAGAAGTTACCCAGGACTAACTAGTATACGCATTTTAATGATTTAATCCCACAATAACCCTATGGAATACTGCTACTATTATTACCACTTTACAGTTGAGGAAACCGAGAAACAGAGAGGTTAAGTAACTTGCCCAAAATCACATTGCTAGTTAAGTAGCAGATCTGGGGTTCAGACACAATAGGCAGTCTATTTCAAGTCTGTGCTCTTAATTTCTTTTCTATGCTGCTACACTTGCCATAGCCCATATCTGAGGACAGCTCAAAGTTAATGATAAATTACTAATGTAACAATCATTAGTCAACCCTTGAAGGATGAGAGAGAGAATCCATCTGCCTAGATAAACTTGATTCCCTGTCTGTGATGGAGACAAAACCTCCACCTTTCTATGGATGTCTCATGTAAAGGGGCTAGCCCCTTCCTTCTAGTGGATATAGTGCCAGAGCCTAATAAAGGGTCTTCCTGGGAACGCCTTCTGTATTTCTGTCCTTGTCCTGTGGCCGGGCACAGGGCGTACCCATACATAGCCCTGGCTATACCACATAGAGTTGTATGTACATACGGAGGAAAAAGGAGACCTCTGACCTTAGGATAAAAGCTTAAAAAACATAAAAGCCCTGAAAAATTCCAGAGCTATGGTGAGCAAAAGGAAACCTTTGTGCAAATGTCCTAAAGTCTTCCCAAATCCTACTAAACCCTTGCTACATTTCTAGATAAATAGGGTGGTCCTCACAAAGCTCCTTGGTTTCATCAGCTGGAAAATGAAGATAAAAAAATGTGCCTTGCAGGATCCTTTAAATAAGAAAATAATGTGAAATCCCTTCTGTAACCGATAAAGCACCACATGAGTTCTATGTTTATTCAATATTCAACCCTTCTATCATATATCTATAAAGGTCCTTTCTGCAGGTATTTTAAAAAAATTTTTTAATATTTTATTTATTTCTGAGAGAGAGAGACAGCACGAGCAGGAGAGGGTCAGGGAGAGAGGGAGACACAGAATCTGAAACAGGCTCCAGACTCTGAGCTAGCTGTCAGCACAGAGCCTGACGCAGGGCTCGAGCCCATGAACCGTGAGATCATGACCTGAGCCAGAGTAGGACGCTCAACCGACTGAGCCATTCAGGTGCCCCCTGCAGGTTTTAATTCTATTCTCTGAAAAACTACTGGAGAGAAGAGTACTGCTTCATATGATGATCCTTTAAATGCATGCTTCCCTCGCGCATGTGGTTGAAATTTTATCCTATGAATATGCTGGTGTAATAGAAACAAAAATAGAGGCAGCCTTAGCATGAGGTAGAATTTTTCTCAGAGACAGATTTGTAAGAGTACTTACAAACAAAAATGAAATGAAAAGGCAATTTTAGTTCAAGGTCGGATGACTCCGGTTAGCTCATTTAGACAAAGGATATACAATTTTGTTCTAGAGTTTGGGCACTCAGCAGTTTTGGAAGGTGTGCTATAAAAGTAGGACACAGAAATCTAGTTTTAGAAATCAGATTTTACAGACTGTGGCCCGCGTGCAGTGTCCAAAGAACAGGTCAAACAGGCCAACTGTGTGAAAGAAAAGTAAAAAATAAATCAGACTGGCATAGAGACAAACCCAGCAATTTGACCACACATTTCCACATTTCAATGCGTGATATTGGTATTACTAAGCAGAGCTAATGTGAGAGATATTGAGAAATTCATTTCGATTTTCCACCTGCCTCAGGTTTCCCAGACGCAAAATCCAAATAATGACATCTTTCTTCCCAAGGTGCTGTCACATGCTTAGGTGAAGGACACTGCATGAGGGGGGAAAGGAAACAACCTGTTATCTTGGCTCACCAAATGAGATCTTATAACCTTACCTAATAGATTGGTTAACCACAGGGCCAGATCTTCTTTCATCGGTAGCAAATTCGCTTCATGTCTGCTGGCCAGCCATTGGCTATACTGATGCATATCAGAAAGGCCAGGTCCACTGCGTACCTTGGGGCTCAGAGCAGTGCACATCATTTATCCACTTGTAATACCTGTTTTGAAAACAAAAAGGGAGTTGTTTTTTATACCGACTTGTCTTGTGAAAATCTTTCTGCTAGTGACACAGTAAGGAACCAGGTCCATGGACGTTTTAATGACGGGTCAGGTTTTTAATCACTAAACCCCATGAAACACTATTTGCTTCATCTGCATTGGCCCTATCAGTTTTGACCAATCATTTGGTAGGAAACAACGGCAATCTAAGGTCAAATAGAAAAATCACACACTAAGCTCTAAGCTCATGTGAAACACCATACTGGAAAAAGTCAATGATGAAGGCAAGAAATTTCACTAGTCAAAAGTAATAAAAAGGGCTTAATTAAAATATGAGTACCTAAATTGTGCACTCCCAACGTTTGGGTTCATATTTGAAACCACAGGTTTCCACAGAATTTTAGAACTGAGTGCAAGCAGTGACATATTTGCACAATTTATTGTAATCATAGGGTCACCTCTCTCAAAACTATTACCTATGCAATTAGGTACAGCACATGGTTCTTTGCAGATGGGTAAGTTAATATGAACTCACAGTTTAGATCATTGGTGCGGAGACAGGGGAGAAGGTGCTTTCAACGAGACCCTACTACATTCTCATTTACAGTTAATGAAAAACAAACAAACAAGAAAACAAAAAAACAAAAAACAGAGAGGATAAGTGACCCAACCGAGATCATATATACTTAGGTCATGGCAGAGACAGGCTTGAACCTGGGTCTTCATACTCTAAGACCAATAATCTTGCCAGAATGATATACTTTAAAAAGTACATTCATCAAGAACTCATACTATAACACAAGAATTAAACATAATTCTAAGAAATAGTACCATAGGGTTTTCTTTAATCTTATTTTGTATCTTCTTACTTTATATATTTTACATACTAGGTTTTGCTTGTGATCTTCAGAGTAGAAGTAATTAAATGTCTTTTGTCTATAAAATAAAAGATGATTTCATTACCACGACCACCTTATGAGTAGCCCAGTCCCCTGTATAGGTTGTAGAAAAGATGTTTGAATATATACTTGGCCTTGAATGTAGCACTCTGTATGCATTATTTATAGGACCTAAAGCAATAGAAGTACTACTGAAGTAGCTAAACAGAACTTGATTTTGTACACAAATAGTGCATATGAAATAACCAAGTGTAGTCTGACTAACGAAAATGAAAATATCTGTAGCTGGCAAGAAGTATGATATGATATAATGGGGTTTTCAGCTATATGTCATTATTTACAGTATTTTAAATTTACCAATATAAATCTATAAGTTGTACACACTTTTGTCGGTTCTATTCTTTGAAACTTTACATATTAAATAATCCTTTCCATTTAATATAAAACTCTAATTCTCTTATCATAGGTTAATCTTTTGCCTTTTAAAGACTGCTTTTGAAAAAAAAAATGACATTGGTGTTCAGAAAATGTAAAATGTGACTGATTTCCAAACATTCTGTCACAGTCTTAAAAAAAACTGGTAACGTGAATAAACACCTAAAAATGTCGTAAATGCATAACTTAAAAACACAGACAATTTCATTTCCAAAACAATTATGCTTTGGAATAACTTTTTGCAAAAAAAGATTACCATAAATTGTCTTTGAAAACATTTTTTTGTAAATCTCTATATATCTAATAATCTAAAGTGAACCAGTGCAAATGTGAAATAATTTTAATACACTTGTCCTATGTTTCTAAATTATCATTACAGGAACCAAAATATCATTATTGTCTTTTTTTTTTTTTTTTTGCAGTTAACCATCACATTATTCATACAATGTCCTGAAGCTTTCTCCAAACCCTGTGATTAAGTACCAGAAACCTAAAACATTTTTGCTCCAATTCTTTTAAAAATAGGTCCAGATCGGGGCGCCTGGGTGGCTTAATCGGTTGAGCGTCCAACTTTCGCTTAGGTCATGATCTCACGGTTCGTGGGTTCGAGCCCCGCGTCGGGCTCTGTGCTGACTGCCAGCTCAGAGCCTGGAGCCTGTTTCAGTCTGTGACTCCCTCTCTCTCTGACCCTCCCCTGCTCACGCTGTCTCTCTCTCTCTCTCTTGTAAAAATAAATAAAACATTAAAAAAAATTTTAAAAAATTAAAAAATAAAAAATAAATAAAAATAGGTCCAGACCCAGGAAAACATCTACCTATGGCTGGTTAAAATTCGTATAAGCTAGCCAGCCTCGGAAACAAACATTTAAGTAATAATACATTTAAGCACATGATTGACACATTTAAATAACTAATTTAAATCTTAAAAGGGTTACCTCTAAAATGTCTTTCTTCTCAAGACACAATCTCTCCCACTACTTTCCTGAAAGTGAGATGCTGTAGTTCAGTAACTTTACCTACTTCCTATTATGTGCTGTGCAACTTCCATTTAAGCATCAGGAGCCTACTTTGCTCTGTAAAAGCAAGAAGACACCTCAGATTCTTAAGCTCATTGTTCAGCAAAGAATTCATCAAGGGATAGTTTACAGTAAGCCTAATGGCATGTAACAGTTTCAATGAGCCAGAGGGACACAATCCTTCCCCTCAATACTTCCAAACAGTGAAGGTTTTATTTTCCTTGACAGTGGCACATTTATTTCTCATGTAGTCTGTTCTGTATTTTGCCAGAAATGTAATTCAAACTATCTTCTAATATATATAGATGATCCTTAAGTCAAAACACTAATTAAGAGTAACTAGGCAATTTTGTGATGCGGCTTCACAAAATTATATACAGAGGGGGGAAACAATAATAAGATTATATTTCCCCACGAAGCAAAGTGGGAGAAAGACGGCTTAGTGGGTAACTACATGGAAATTAAACAATTAAAGGTATATGATATACATAGACACCTAAAGTCACTGTCATAGACAAGGTCTCCTCTGTTTACGTGCCTTGGGAAACAATCGTGATTTCAATCCATGTTCTCCTGATCCATTTTTCATATTTCAAACCACCATCAAACCCAGCAAGCCTCTGTGGTTTAGGTGAAAGCATACGGAAATCTAGGATTTAAATATGGCAGAGACATGAATAAGACATGTGGAAATGAATCCGGGTAGGATCGAAATTTGGAGTGTGGAAGAATTATCCCATGGTGAAGTAGTTTCTAATTGAAATGATTAAACTGGCATGAGTAACAACCAAATGAACTTCTATTACTCAGATATAAGGATCACTACAGGATTGTAACTTTTTTATAATTTTCACCTTAACCCCACAGATGAGTGGAAGTAGACACAATGAACAAACTATAACAAAAAGGTAATTCTGATCCTTTGAATCCATTCAAAAGTTTGCAAAAACCAAAAGAGATGCCAAGGAGTAGCTTTTAAAGATGGGAAATAATGGGGCGCCTGGGTGGCTTAGTCGGTTAAGCGTCCGACTTTCGCTTAGGTCATGATCTCGCGGTTCGTGGGTTCGAGCCCCGCGTCGGGCTCTGTGCTGACTGCCAGCTCAGAGCCTGGAGCCTGTTTCAGTCTGTGACTCCCTCTCTCTCTGACCCTCCCCTGCTCACGCTGTCTGTCTCTCTCTCTCCCTCCTAGAAATAAAAATAAAACATTAAAAAAAAAAAAAATTTAAAGATGGGAAATAAAATGACTAATGGCCCATTAGACTTTAAGAAAAAGTTAGGTTTGGGGGGAAGAAAAACATTTTGTATTGTGTATGTAAACACTGAAAGATGTTACCATAAAAATTCATGTAATCTAAATATCCTTAAAGCTTGATAAGTGACGCTGGTAAGTGCTAAGCAAAGCCCATCGCTTTGGCAACAGAAGTAAGGACTCAAGTGCCTCCATAACTCTCTGAACTATGGCTTCTTCAAGCTGCATGAGTCTATCTAAAAATGGATAACTCAACCCTCAGGATTTGGAATTCAGAAAAATAAAACTTAAAGGGAAAAACATGCAGAAACTTAATACAGAATTCTTCAAAGAATGTGTGTGTGTATTATTTTTTCTTTCTTTCCATAGTAGACCTGATTCTGGAATAACCATTATGAATATGATGAGACTGAACTAGCCCAGGGGAAGAAGAAAAAATTAATGACTCCATAAGTAAAATATCATATGTTTGAAGACTGTTTAGTCTGTTGCTCTACAGTCCCAGTTGAAGACATCATAGTTTTGACTCTGAAAAAAAGTATTCTTTCACGCCACCTAGAGGTGTGCTTTGATTATGACCAAGATGGTTTCCAGACTATCTCTAGACTTTGCTGACATGTTATTAAAAATGTATTGCATAGAAAATAAAGTCGAAAGAAAGAAAAATAAGAATAAACTGATAAACATTGTATCACTACTGTCTGCTATGAGATCCACTAAGAAACCTGATTAATGGCTTAGAATATTAGAATTGGAATCAGAAGTGCTGGGCTTAAATACTGGCTCCACTACCTCACCACTGAATAGCTGTTCTTTTCCAGTTAGATGACTCTTTCTTTGTACTGGCATTCCCCAGTGTACAGAGTGGAGGCAAATACCTCAAAAATAGTTGTGAAGATTAAATATTTGTGCCAGTTTGGGGTATATATTTTATATCCAATAAATACTAGCTAAGCCTAAATCACTCTCATGGAAAATGTACCAAAATAAAACTCCTATTGACATATCTTTAAAAGAAAAAAACAATTCTATAAAATTCTAAAATAGAAAAAATAAACAGAAATATTTTATAGAACTATAAATCACTAAGAAAAGCCAAAAAAAAGGAAAAACAAAAATAAAGTATTGATGAAATAAATCCATAAATAATGGAAAATCCAAAGTTTTCTTCATATTGACAGGGATGAAACCCCAAGGTGAAGAATGACATGTTAAGTCCTAAAATGAGAAGCTTACAAGTATTTTTAAAAACAAATTTTGGTAACAAATTATACTTCATTTTTGACACCAGTTAAAGACTCGGAAGCTATTAAATGGGAGAATGCTCTACCTCCCAAAATAAATGAGAAAGGATGTCACAACACACCCCCAGCCTGACACA